ACTAAATGCTCATATCGCATGTAACTCATATCAAACGCACGTATTGATTTTAGACAGTAATAATTTCGACATGATGACCTACTTAGTCTGGCTGAATTACAATACGTATGTATTGTTGAACATTAGATTGATGACATACTTTTTCATAAAAACATGCTTTTATTTGAATAATGCTATAATTAATTAATACATGTTTTTTTTCAATAAATAAATAAATAAATGAAAATAAGTGTAAACTCTTAAAAAATACAAAGACGAGTCACGACACGCATAATCATTATAATAAAAATATAATAGCAAACATAATCGCAATATTTACATGAAAGGCTGTAGTTACATCCACTCTTGCTACTGTTTCTATATTGAGAACTACTAGGAATAAGTCATTGATACTCCACATGCCAGTGGGAAAATAGTAAACCAAATCACCGAGATGATATGCTAAGTATGAAATTCACATATTAGGTCTAACGGCCGAATTTTGTCATTACCAATCGCAACCTGTATCAGTAAGCAATATTGAATCCCTGATGTAATTGATCGAAAAAAAAGTGTCTTGATGTGTTCTACTCAAGAAAAGGTAGTGTGTAACAAAATATTCTGTAGACCATAATGTTTTACATATGTGCCAAGCTTGAATACAATACTGTAAAGGAAACCTGTTCGTGGAATGATAGACATGTTTGATGGCCGTCAGTAGGCCATCTTTAATTGAATAGTCAAACAAATGGAAGTTTAAATGAATGTTTAAATGTATGATGTACGTGTGAGCTTGAAGTTGTTTGGGTCAGTCACAGACGAACTGACACAAAGAGGTGATTCTAAAATTCGCTGTTTTAATAATGTAAATAAAAAAGTCACACTCGATCAGTATCGTATACACCATTAATGTTCTATGTGCAGTAGCCAGTAATAATGCTAACGTGACAGTGAAGTTAACAGTTATCCTATACCCAGGAGACGTGCATGGAATGGCATCACAAAAGTTGGAGTTTAAAACTCAAAGAGCGACTGTTCAATTAGACTAAAAGGATTATCACGACAATTTAAAAAACGCCATTTATTCAATGATACTGACAACATAATGCATTATTCACAGCGGTATAGCGGTTAATATTGTCGTTCATGTCAAAATTGATTAATTCTTTGGCATTTGTAAAGGTTTTCAGGCTAATAACGGTTGATCTAATTGACGAGCAAATAGTAATTTAACCCATAATAATATACTCATAATATAAATAGTAGCCATAGACGCTGTAGTAGAAAGAGAAGGATATTTTGCATTTGAATTTGCTTGGTTTGTGATTCCAAATGCCATTTCACTTTTATATGATTTCAACAATATCAAATTTGCCCAGCATTCACTTCCTGTTTTATTGAAATGTTACTCTTGTACATACATTATCATTGTTCACTAATTAGAATAATACGCATCACGTGACATGTGAAGGTTGTCATGTCATGTTTTTAATAGAATATAAATTCGCTGACATTTACATATTATACACTTGAAAATCAAAATCGAGATATAAGTTATTGTACAGCGACTATTCCAGCACTGCACATGATGGCTTTCTTGTAGAACCTGGGATAATATAATTAAAATTTAGAAGGAATACAAGCTTGATGATACAGATGAAATCTTGGTTTCTTTGCAGTTAGCTTGTGTTTCTTGCAGCTCCTCTTTTTTGACATGAATGTCATAACCCATTAGATGAAAGATACAAACAAATAAATATAAATAGAGAACAACTTATTTGAGAATATTGCCGTGGTATTTACCTGTTGAAATTGCAAATAGTTACAGCTGGAAACTCAAGTTTGTGTTCATATATTAGGGAGATCTCCGTATTCACGTTGAACTCGAGGTAATTTGAAACTCGTTCTGCAATTTGCCAAACACATACACACAACGATGTTATCACGATCATTGACCAAAACCCACGTCGTGAAAGGCATCGGCTCTCGCTAATCTTTACTATTCCGTGGCAGGTTGTGGCGGAAGCGAATTTCTGTTCTTCACTCTCTGTCTCCATCTCTGTTGAGTCCTAGACTGCGCAATAAGGGTTCTTCCGTGTGCTAGGCATGTGGAACAAATATGAAAGTCTCGCTTTGATTAGCGCGTCCGCTGACGTTGAACTGTGCATGCTATGAAGTAGCTATGATGTAGTACAAAGTGCGCAGACGCACTCAAATTCATATGCCAACAGTAGTCATACTAGTTTTATTCAGCAAACACAGATATTTAAAAAAACTTACATCCTAAGAGATATAAGTAATACAATAGGCCAACATTTATCTAAATCAATAAGATTAGCTTTAAACAGAAAACCACTTGTTGTATAAGCAACGTGCATGGATCTCCTTTTATTTTGGTTAGGGAATGGGCATGATCATGAGCTCTCTGACGGAGAGATAATCAGAGAAACAGAGATGATCACGCCACACAGTGTCCAATCTTTCTAGATGGTATCTGCTCACCTATACTTTTAACTTTTAAAATGATTTTACAGTATTCTGGCACTAGTCGGTCGGACACGTCGGAGTTAAAATCTTGTATTTACTTCATGGATCGAGTCCCGAACGCCTGTAAATGCAAGCAACTACAAGGTGATTTAGTATACATGTTTATTGAGGTTGAGATGTAGCACGGACCAATTGCTGAATAACGATTTATTGAGTATTGCAGTTGGATTTTTTTCAAAAGATTTCAATACTACATAATATAAGAGTAACAAATGGACAGGTGTGTTATGAGTTAAGAATATGTTGATTGTGGTGCATAGTAACTGCTCCCACTCCCCTAATATTCCTCGCTTAATTTAAATAGTATATAACCCTCATTTTTGCTGTTTTCAAACCGATACCTCTGAATATACTCAATATGCAAAGTAAATATGCTAAATGACAGGTGAGTGACATTATGTCCACAATCACTCAGTACAAAACTTCAAACATATCTTGAATAATAATTTTCCAAAATGTACGGTAAACTCTACACTCATTGTCATGGTAACCATCATTAAGGTGAGGTAAATCATTTAATAAAGAATTATGGGTATTATTTAGCATATCTGTACTGTTTTAAGGGTTGGTAGGATTGTGCCATTATGTTGAAGAAGAAGACAATGAAGATGGTTGTATCATACGTTTAGTCCAGTGGATTTAGCCCTGAAACAGGCCGAACCGGGAAGTAATTAGTACATTAACAAGTTTGGTATCAAAAGATAGGGAATTTTTTGTAGATTTACCAAAAAAACCCCAAGAACTGATAACGTGGGCAATTTTTTTACACGGGTAGAAGTAAGGGGTAGTGTTTTTCGTACATTTGAGATTTTTCTTACATTTATATTTTGTAATTGATATTACTTACAGCCTACACATTATTTCATATAGATATTGCTAGTGTTTTCTATACACTTTTTATTTAGATAAACTGAAGAAACTATCCGCTAGTTATAGAACAGAAATTTGCTGACGTCAGCATTTTTTACAATTATTTTAATCCTGTCAAGTAGTCAACCAATCTTTTGTTTTACCAGATACCTATCGGTATAATAAAATATCTTTCCTTTATTTCTAAGCACCAGCATCTAGGAAACTGTTTTAACTTTTAATGACTCGTTTGTAATTTCCAGGGGTTTTCAAACACCCTGATATTCCCAAAATATAGCTGAATCCTGTTACACAAGGAAGATTGTTATGGCAAGACTTATATAAACACTTGCTATGATTACTTCTCTTTTTCCTTTCTGCATTATTTGCTCTGTTTAGAGTAATCATATTTAATATAGTTAAAACAAGTCATCTGCAAGTCCTTGCATGACTGTCAATCATAATAAATTGCTCAGTTTGTAAAGTCAATATGACTTTTGATTATCATCACATGATTTCCTTATATGGCAACCAGACGAACCTCAAGTAGCACAAGATTATGTCGCAATTTTTTTGCTTGAACACGTTCAGACTTTCTGAATGCAAATACTGACAACTTTTACCAAGATTTGAAGGCTTTTGTGCGTGCTAAACGCGTCTTGTTTATGCTTGTGATAAATTTAGATTTGCGCATCCCTGAATTGCAACATTGCAACAACAAAACTCAAGATCCACGAAGATGAGTGGGTGCAACAGGTACAAGCCAGACTTCTCAGCATCAGTAATTTTACATGATTTCCACTATCATCCAAAGAATGAAGACCCTGAATCCGAAAAATATCGGCTCATTAAAACGGCTGCACAACTTATTAAAATGATATAAAATCGTCCAGCACAACTAGTCATTTATACCCAAACACTGAAGAAATGCAATGCACTGAGAAAGCCATTGAGTACCTTCTATCCACCCTGAAAGTTTTACTTTATGTTTGTTAGAAAAGACACTGACGTTAAGGTGGCATCCATAGGGCAGGCCATCATGCAGTCAATTCACCCATAGTTATAGTGACTCCACTTCACAATGGGTTTTGTTCATCATATGCAGAGGTACAGAAGTTTAAACGTAGTGCCACCTTGCACCAAGGAACTGACATTCCTGGTTTCACACTGTCACACGCAACGTAATATTACCGTAATTGGTATAGTACAGGTGTGATGGTTCAAATACCAAAATGGCAACAGTAACAGAAAGACTTCTCTGGCGGCGATGATAACATACGAACACGGAGCCAACAGATGAGGTTTCAACTGGTACTGGTATCATTATACTCTGCAAACATCAAGTACAATAACGCATTAAAACTCCACTACTTCAATAACTAGATACTTAAACTCCAATACAATTCAACGAGATCTCCGATCTGATCTCAGTGCTGAATATATACCCACACTGTC